TTACTGCAAGTAATTTTAGATTCATGGAAGGAGTCATCTGGAGATTCAAGTATCTTGTCTGTTTATGAATGATTGCACCAGATTTAACAGACCCAAGAATCTACCATTTCAGAAATCAGTCTATGAGAATTTCTTTCTTAAAAAAAACCCTTTTTTTCTGCATCACTGGATGGACATTTTTAGAAAGAAAAGGAAATGGAAGTGAACTGGAAAGATTGAATTCGGGAATAAAAGTTTTGAGCTACAGCTTCAGAAATCACATCTGGTCCATATTCCTTTCAAATTTCAGAATCAGGATGGAAATTCCCATTTCAGATATGCAGGACCAGAAATTGTCTGATTTATGTAAACAATCTACTTGGCTTAAAAATTATATTTTACGCATGTAAGAAAAATATGACTGAAAAGGTTTTGTACGTTAACATTTTACATGGCAGTAGCAACTGAAAAGCTGCATTGTAAATTTTTAGAATCTCTGGAAATCTACCTCAGAGGCTGAACCCACATGGCATTAGAATGATAGATGGTGAAAAGTAAATTGCTTAAATTTTGTGATTCATTCAAGTCTGCAAAAATAAACCAGATGTTATTGTGTGTTTCCCACACACAGCTTCCTCCCCCCATAGCAACACTTCCAGCATTTTTCCTTATTCAGCATTTTATTGGGGGATGGTTATGAGGTGTCTACAGATAGTAGGTTAAGTAATATAAACCTATAACCACTCACAAATATTCCCAGATCTCTCCAGGAGTTACATTCCTCATCGAACATGATGCATTAATACAATTACACTAAGTTACATCTATACAATTTATTTCATCTCATATATTCCTAAAGCAAATTACAAGTCAAATGAATATTCCACTTTCGCTATTCACATGCCATTTAACAAAAAGTTAAACACAATTTGCCAGGTGATTCCTGTTCCCTGACTCATGACCATGGATACCCCTATCAGAAGCATTCATCTCATTCATCTGAAAATTATCTCAGGCATGTACGAGGCACAAAATCACACTTATTTAATTTAAAGCAGGCACTCACACAACTCTTCAATGCACTTCTGTTACTCTCCTGCACATGATTCACATTGGCACTCAAAGAATTACAAGAACAGATTATAGAACAATCACAGAACTTATGATGACCTAAAATACAGCTTTTCCACCTGGGGAGGTGGCTTCAGAAATTAAAAGAATTAAGGTTAAAAATGGGAAGAATAAAACAACTCCATGCCTCCAGAAAGCAAAGAGCCTTGAGCAAAGACAAATGTTCAAGCCCAAGGGTTTAAAACTGCTTTTAGTGGTAACCCGACTGGCTGAAAGGGATATATTTTCCTTACTTTTTCATACTTCCCCAGTTCTTCCCCTGCCAAGTGGGATGGCAGCCACAAAGTTCTTAACCGTATTTGATTTAAGAAAGTAAAAGTAACAGGACAGATGTTTATACAATCCCTAATGTAGGGCTTGAAAAGAAAATGGTTTTTGGAGGCTGGTTGTAAATAGTTACATGATCCCCTTGCATTTCATCAGTGCACATGTTCTGGATTTCTAGTGCCTCCAATCTTACTGCAAAAGTGACTCCAAAATTTGCTGGAGTCTGAATACAGCTGAACAGACCAGAGCCATAAATAATTTGACTACATGCTTTACCCTTAAAATCTCAGGGCACAAAAGAAATTACCTTGTCAAAGCCTCTTAGAAAAGAAAGCACACTTTAAAGACTGCATCCTTATGTGCTTCACATAAAGTTCAAACTAATGGCAACAGCCCACAGGCATTAAGAGAAATAACAACAATCAATGCTATTTTTAAAGGGAAGAGTGGGGGCGAGGGGTTAACATATGTGGAATTAGCTCTGGGCAAAATGAGAAGCCATTGCATCTAAAATCAAATGCATTCTCTGAAATAGACACCAGGGACCAAATTCCCATGCAGATTCCTGCAGTCCAAGAGTTTCAGCAGAATTTGGCCTTCCTCTTAACTTAGCTTTATGAGGTCATATCATGCCATCAGTTTTTATGTCGGACACCCTACGTACTGCACATCAGTTGTTGGCACTATGTAGACAATTTCCCAAATTGGAGAGGGAGAAAAGAGTGGTATGTGTAAAAGGCAGAGGAATTTTTTCCCATTTAGAATAAAATTCTGAGGAAATAGAATTTCTGAGAAGAGTTTGAGGGGGGAAAGTGGTATTTGTACCCCTTCTATCAGATGTCACCAGTGACAACAAGAGCCAGTATTAAATATCTCTCCATCAAATTCTTCTCGAAATTTTTCAGCGCCAGCTGGTCAAGAACCCATTCAGAAAACAGGGAAAACTGTAATCTTCCATAGCCATTCTTAACATGATTCTTCTCTGCAAAAGAATTATATGTGTCTGAAACTGTTTTGTGGAGGACAGACTTGCAGAACTTTTAATAATAAAAAAACTTGTAGCAATAATTTTTCTTATGTTTGTATACGGCAAATGAAATAGCACCTCCTCCACCACAGAGAGAATCTTTTGCAAAGGTCTTTTGTTGCTTTTTGATCAGCTGCTCTCAGTGCTGGATGCACTAATGTCTCGTAGGCACCCTCCATTTGTCACTTTTCTGTCTGGCACCTTGATTTATTAGTGGCTGGCTTCAGTGGCTGGCTAGGTCTGTCTTCCATCTTAGAGGGAAATGCTTTGGAAAAAAGATGCCTTGGTATTCTCTGTGACATTAAGACAGTCTCTGCACTGTCACCTCTTACCCTGCCACACCTCAAGCTGTGATGCCAATTGCACTGTCATCCCTTGCCATCCCTTAATCCTGGCCATAATGATACCTTGTGCTGTCATCCATGTGACTTGTCTTTCACTGTTCTGTTACCTCAAGGCACAAGTGAGATCCAAGCTGACAGGTTTCTCACCCAGTTAGGCTACAATATTCGTGAAAGAAAATTGAGATGATCAAATTATATCCGTGAAAAAAGTAACTAGCACAAAGGAACACTGGGAAACAGCACTGGTGAAACAATTCTAGAAAATAAGCACTTCTCTGAAAGAGATTGAAGACAGGCTGAAATATTGTTATAGCGATGATGTTGCTATCGAAATTTTTCTCTCTATTCTGAAAGCAAAGATCTTTCATGTAGGGCTCAGGGACTTTTGTCTCAGAGACAGCTGGGCAGATCACAACCCCTTTGCTTCATACATAGCCGACTAAACAGGTTGTCAGAATCTTGCAGAATTGTAAGATTTTCTCTGGAAAAAGAGCAGATGAAATACCCTCCCCCAACCAACTGTTCTGATGGATTGACATAGTATTATTTTACTTCCTACAGCAACAAATTCACTGTGGTATTTTTTTTCCAAAAAACAACAGATCAGACATTCTGGAGACAACATGGCTATTATTTCCCTTGATTGGTTTGCTATGCTAACAATACCTGAACGGGACACTTCTAATTTTTTCTTTTTGTTTAGTGCTGCAATGATGAAACTCTTTCACACCGAGTGTCTACAGATAAAATAACAAGTTATCATATCTAAACAGTCACTAAAGACACCTCTTCAGAAGTTATTGTGCGTCATTTTATCTGACTCCTCAGATCAAGCATATCAGATAGTGGGGGTTTTTGTCCTGCCCTACATCGCGTGGAGAAGCTGGTGTTTTCTGCTTAAATCAGAGGAAATTTGACATGACTCTGTTCTTTTTGTCTATCTGGCCGCTTATCTTGTTTCGTTTGCAAATATCATATGTATTCTCTTGAGATAAAAATAGTGCAAGATGATTAGTTAGGCAAGTTCATTTGACACCATTCCCCCTTCGTGACGCTGAAATCTAAAATCTGTATATGGTAGACAACTTAAAGTATATATATGCAAGTTCAGCTTTGCTGCAGACACACAGCAAGTACCTTCATCCCAACCTGACTGCTTCCTTATCCAGTCAAGAAGACCACAAAGGTAAGCTGATTAGATCTTCTGCTTTCAAAGAAACACAAAAGCAAAACGCTCCCTAAACAGAAAGCAATTAAAGTATCTATTCTTATCTCAGCTTCCAGCATGTTGTATTTTTACAAGCTAAGAGAATAGAATCAGCATTTGGATCATAGGATGGAGCAAGAAAGGAATGATGCCCCTTGTAAAAAATGCTGTAATTTTTAGGTTTTCCTTCAACTCCTCCCCTTTTTAATCCTGTTGGCAGTGAATTAGATGAATGGCTGAGCTCGAAGTTATCTTGCCTAATGCTGAGAGGGGGAAGAATTTTGCACAAGAACCCAGTGGGACAAAATAATTGCTAGTAAAAGAAAAGTAACCCAGCTGCCTGAGCTGGGGAAGGATCCATTGCCATCAGTGGGAATGTGTGCCATCACTTTCTTAACCATTTATGAGATATTCTGAAAAGGACTAAAATGATTGACAATCTTTTCTGCTGTGAACCAACAGGTACAGAGGCAGCCATTTCATATTTTAGAGGAAGTTTAAATCTGCATTTAGATCTCAAACCAGTGCACAGACTATAAATGGGTACCACCAGTTGATTCCTTCTCAGGCTGTGCTTAGACAGGAAGAATGATGTTGCTGAAAACCAGTTAGGGATTAGTGAAAAGATATTTATATTCTTTTGTGGCTTTCGAGAATAACTTTTCTATGCCTTAGTCTCCTTCTTTCACTAACATGAATTAAGAGTAATATTTCAAGTTTTACACTCCAACTTGTCTGCACTGGTGTGTGCAGTCTACCAAAATGTAAATGCATCAATGAACTAAAAAATTATTAGAAATTCAGTCATTATAGCATTTTGTTAAGTGATGCACATTGCACTGGCAAACTATTACAGCTGTTGGTGCTGAATGAGACAGAATATCTTTCTCAAATGAAATGCTGCTGTGTCAGAAGAAAACACGTCCTCCACTCTACTAAGAATGAATATTAAGTCATGACATTTCTGTACTAAAGACAATAATCTACTGAAATGTCAAAATCTGGAAAAAATATTGTTTATTACAACATACATGGAATTCAAAAAGAAAAGAACCCCAGAAAATACTGCCAAAAACTTTTTTACAAAGCTCTCATGAAATGTAGTCATTCAGTGATGCAATAGCACAGTAAGACACATTTGTTGTTGCAACTAAACAGGGGAGGAACTTACCCTCCAAATTTGCCTGAGTAAAATTACTAATTCTACACTAATATCTCCATTCTTTGTGAAGCTCACTACATCTATTGATAATAATACTAGATTTTTCACATGCCAATTACACTTACTCCAGATATAATTCTAGGGGACATACCAGCCTTATCTATTATGTGTGCTGTAAATACTCTCTGGGTTTTACTGAGCAGCAATCCACCTCCAGGAAAACCCACACAGAAGTCATGAATTCTGTGGTGCTGGACACCTTGGATTTGCTCTCCTAGTGCAGCAGAGGCATCAGATCTTCCTGAAGCCCCACGCTGCCGCGTGCAGAATTCCTCCCTCATTCCCAGCTTTCAGTGGAAGCACCTGCTGCAGACATCTGTTACAGCATGCTCCACTTGCCATCAGATGAATAATGTCTCCCCTATCACACACTGTCACTGCAGCAACTTCAAATAGAGCCATGCAAGTAGGAGAGAAGTCATTTTAATGACTAAGTAGCTCACATTTAATTTATTTTACAGTTCAACAATGGCCATCACTGACATCCTCTCAGCTAAAGATATTGAATCTGCTCTCTCCAGCTGCCAGGGTAAGGAATGGTTGCTCTGCAGACAGAAGATGCGTATCATTTTCATGTCTGAAGATGACATGCCTATCATTTTCCCCTTAGATTCCTTCCCTGTGAGATCTCTTTCTAAGCTGCATTACAGTATAGCCCCTTAAATTCAAAATGTCTCACAAGGGGTGAGCAGCAATTAAAGGGCCACAGTTTCAGTTAGTGCTGGCTTAACACTAAGCTGCCAGGATCTAAACCTGTTAAAGACTTAAAGCTAGCCTTGTCCTTCAAAATTTCAGAAAAAGCCTCAGCTTGAAGAATGAGAGTGTCATTTGTGAAGCAATGATCAGTCTCACTTCTCTTAAGAGCTGCTCAGTATGATCAAGCCAATTTTCCAAATACTCAAAAGATCTGGTTTGTCTGTGAATTACTTACTCCTCTATCAAATTCTTCACCTAAATAGAGACTTCATGAGAATGAATTAAGAATTACAGGAGTCGTTTGCAAGTCACAGTAGCACCCTCTTAATATTTATTTTTAATTGCATGCGACACATTGCATAAATCCTGATTTAGCAGAATGTGCATTGTAGCAGAAAACTTCAAACTGGCTGAAAGGAAATATGACCATGGGCACAGAGTGATTTAAAAGGGAAATTATCCACTGTATCTGCTCTTTGGCTACATCAAGGAACAAGACAGAAGCAGGCTGATGCTTAAGGAAAGACATACATATTCACAAGGAATACACACAGTAGTATCGACTTTAAGGGAGAATATTTAAACAATTTCTGTTTCTTCCAGCTGATGATTCCTTCAACTACAAGTCTTTCTTCTCCACGGTGGGTTTATCCAGCAAAACTCCTGATCAGATAAAGACAGTTTTTGGAATCCTTGATCAGGACAAGAGTGGTTTCATTGAAGAAGAAGAGCTGCAGTAAGTACTCTTCAGCTGCTCTATTTCTTTAAACAACAAAAACCTTTGAACTTGCTTGGGTGGGGTTGAAGAAACCCTTGACGTTATTTTAAAAATAAAACACAAATCCTTGTCTTTCCTTGAACCTGTGTGAATTCCCTGAGACAATAAGAGCAGACATTACCTTATGGGACATTTCAGAGAACAAAACTCAAGCACAGCACCCTGTTCTATTTCAGGCTGTTCCTGAAGAATTTCTCTTCAAGTGCCAGAGCCCTTACCTCAGCAGAGACCAAGGCTTTTCTGGCTGCAGGAGACACTGATGGTGATGGCAAAATTGGAGTGGAAGGTAAGTTTTGGAAAATTGATAACATTTGTGGTTTAAAATGCACTCATTTCAGGCTGCAAATAACTGGGGCATGAGCAATACACACGAGTACTTTGACCTGATACTTTCAGCCACAATTTTTGTATAAGCAAATACTCCTTTGTTTTCATAAGTTTATTGCCATTTGGTCTCTGTTGCAGCAACAGAATATTTAGGCCCAGTGTAGAGTCTGGTCTTCCAATCAATGATAACAGATTTGGGACTAATCCTGCTGTGTGTCTGATCCACAGACTCAATATTCCAGATTTTTAAAACATTCAGAACACCTGAATTTCTCTGAATTTCCATTTCATCAGTAGATGCTCTGCACTTATGGCCATACCACACTTCCATTTTTAAACACATCTCTACCTAAAGAAACTTATTTCTTCATCTTCCACTATCAAACATTGGCCTCTATTACTGGGTGCTTAATTCACTGATTTAAAATACAACTGGTGTTTTTTCTCAAGGCTGCAACTGCAGCAGTGCAGCACAGGATTTTGTGCTGGAAAATTATCTGATAAGTGCACATTTCACCAGGCAGTCCTTTAAGAAACTCAATCAAATTCCTGAAGAAAACCTCACAGGGATAATGTGAACAAGCCAGGATATTTCTTTTAGAAATTGCAGCATAGAAAAATAGGACATTATGCATCATGTATTAGAGATGTAGTCGCTGAAAACAGGGCTGTCTCAGCTGAACTAGGACAGGTGGCAATAGCTCCAACAGACACACGTGCTAATCTTAGCCAGATTTGGGAGGAGAGAGAGATACACTGTTGGAGGAATTTGCTTTAGCAGCAGCTTTTGCAGCTTCTGTTTATGAGTCCCAAATTGGGCATTATATTATGCAGATCTTGGCCCTTAACCATTGAATCTACCACTCTGGAATTACTTCACTATGGATATTTTTTATTTAGAATAACAAAACTAAAAAAAAAATCCTCTTGCTGAGAGCTACAGGCTCTTCTTCCTTGGCTATTATCAGAGTTTGTAATGGGGTAAAGATAGTTTACCTTTAAGTCAGGATTTCCCACAAATACGATTTTACAGATATACTCCTCCTCTCTCCACTTACTCTTTTTAAGGAGTGAAAAATCTGTTACACCCCCAGAATCTCAGTTTAGCAGTAGCTTGTACAGTGTTATAATAACTTTGGGAGCTCTCCATGCCTAGGAGTTTCAGTCATTTTTATCTATCTTTTTAAAGATGTCAAAAAACTACTTTCAACAAGTTTTATTCCCTGCTTTTCTCACTTTCTTCCTTGACAGAATTCCAGTCTCTGGTGAAGGCATAAACAGCATTAGACCAAAGGCAACCTTGGGCTGACTCTGCCAATTACCTCGTCCAGCAAGCACTTCGCACTCAGCATGTGTTTGTACATTTTTATATTGTTTCAGGCATTAACAGTTCCCCACACGTGAAGTTCACGCACCTGATTGACGAGAAATCTTGCAATGTTTTGGTCACCTGGCATTGTTACATTTCCATTGTAAGGAAGGCACTTTGTGATTTTCCACCACCGATAATGTTGAAATTGTGGTTGGGAGAGGGGAGAAAACAACTAAAAAATCAGCTAAACCAAAAGAACCTTGGGGGAAAAAGCTGCTTTTAAAAATTTTGTTTAGGTTCTCCATCCTCATACTTGAGCATGCTGACTCACCAGACACAGTTTTGATGATCTTAAACCATATGATATCTTCTCAGGCTTAATTGTACTGATTTAATTGAGGTTTATTTCTGATTAATTCTCTGATACTTAAGGAAAAGAAATGCTGAAAAATAGCTAAAAATAATTCATATTAAGTCCCAACCCTGCGAATATGAGAAAAAAATTAAAGAGGAGTTCACACATAGCTCAAAACACAGAATAAGTTCTTGGGTAATTTTACAAAATAAAGCAGTAGATTACAGCGTAATTGTATCGTCAGAAAGTGTTTATGGCCTAAAATGTGACTCTCCCTTAAGAAGATTTATCTTCATGAAATCTAAGGCAGCTGTGAGATAGAGGAGAAGGGTCTAATCCTACTCTGACACTGTCACAAGTCATGGTCCCCTGACAACCTAGGCCACAGGCCTGGAGGCTTTTCCATGAATCATGAGCCTGTTGCTTATTGTCTCTGAACATGTACAAAACAATAATATTTGCCACATCTGTGAACTTCTGTGTTTTCTACAGATGAAACTACAGCCAATCTTGATTTTTGATTGCCCTAAAGCTCTTACATTGTAAAATAACGACATAAGTCTTTCACTCATTATATGAATAATTAGCTATATGTTCCATAATATCAGCAGTTTTCTTCAATCTGAAAGCTAAGAACTGGTCTTCCCTTTGATAAGTGTCTTACAGGATTTAGAGTTGGTTACAGCGTTTTCTTCATTAATGGACAAATTAAATAACGTTCATGGCTAAAAGCAGATGTCAGCAGGCTGAGTAGATCTGTGCATCTCTGGCTGAAATCATTCCAGAAATTTCCCCACCCTGATTTAGCTGTTTCCTTCCCCATGCTGTCCCATGCTGTGGCTCCAGCTCACAAGCAGACTGTCACTTTAATACTCTTTGCTGAAACTGGATGATAATTATGATTTGGCAGCTGTTTTAAAGAAGAGCAGAAACAAAACCTTCTGGAACTTTTATGTAACAGCCAGTGTTGGCATTTCCATGAATTGCAAGATGATTATGTGAGCAAGCACAGCTCCCTCATTCCCAGGCATGTAAGAGAGCCGGTCGACAGATTTAAGATAGCTAATGCAAAAGAGGAATTCCAGCAATCAGATTCACTGAAGCCTTGGCAGAATTATAATGAATATAAATCCTAATTCTATCCCCACAGCCTTTGATGTTAAATCTGGGCTTATATTATAGCTGCTGTTAATTGCAGCACTGAAATATTTTGCATAATGATGAGACTCTGGTTCCTTTTACCTTAATTATTTCCCTGCTGAAGAAAAAATCCTGGGGCAACCCAGACCTGCAGCAATATCCAGATGTAATATATACCTTAGCTCTTCACACTGCTGATCACTGAACTATCCTGTCACTAGCTCTCAAGCAGATGGCACACACAGTACCAGAAGTGACAGACCTGACACTGCATTCCTTGCACCTCTGAGACTCTCGTGTGGAATGCAAGAAATGCAAGACTGCACAGTGGCCTATCCTGTATTTCAGAGATGCTGAACAACTGCACATCACTGCCTTGTGCTGCCACAGGGGGATGAAGCACTCCCAAGAATCAGGAAATCCTTATGTGTTCAGCAACTTCACCTATTCTTGTAAGAAAATCTGTTCTTCTTAAATAGTGGCAAGAAGATGTGTTTTAAATCTCACTAAAATCATCCAGACACTTCATTCAAAGGAATTATAATAAAACTCCAAGAAGTCCCCAATTAAATAGAAAAGCCCATAGGCTTCAGCAAAAATACCACCTACTCTCTATTAAGGTTTCTGCTTGCATTAGGATCTACATTTTAGATCCACATTTTAACCAGATTAGAAAAGAGTATTTTTTAACAAATTCAAAAAATGTGATTTTTCTTCTGGCAAGGATAATTTTAATTAAGTCAGTGGCAGCTTTCAGATTTTAGGGAGTATCATGGAATGTTCTTTGAACTTGATATCACCACCATGCTAGAGAAAAGCTTCAATTGCAGGATGTCTATGTGAATGCCAACTGAAGCACCAGAGAGATACATGGTTGGTATTTAATGTTATCATAATTAAGGTACAGGATAGGCTCTCTGGAGGTCTTTGGTCCAGTCACTCCCTCCGAAGGGCACATTGCCCTAAGACGAGTTTGAGCATCTTCAAGGATAGAGGTTCTATAACCTCCCTGGGCAGTCTGATAAGTAAGGATTAAATCCTCTGCATCAAGCTGCTATGAATGAATGAAACCAATAAAACACTGCTGAGTACACAGTTAAAAACGAAAATTCTGTTAGAAATTGTTTATGCTACATCAAATTAGAAAGAATCTAACAACCCTTGGTATTTTGACACTGATCACTTGCTCTCAGGTTTAGAGTAAGACCATCCTACTCAATATAATACTGAGTATAAAACTGCCTCATAACTCCCAGCATAAAGGAGATGCGGTTTGGATGTTTTACCTTCACTTAAGACAATTAAAGAGCTACCCAAATTGTGAGTGGTAGATCTGAGTTCCACTTGGCCCAAAGACTGTGAGTACTCAGACACCTCAATCACTTGATCACCCTGTGTGAGCAGTTTAATCTCTAATCCTCCCTATACTTCTTATGAAATACAGATGTACCATGATCCCTTTAAGCAGGAACAAAACACAAAGCAATCTATTGTCCTACATGAGCTCCTAGAAAAAGGACACAGAGGGCCAGGGTCAATATCCCAAACCTACCCTAGTGCTCTAGCCACTGAATTCACCATCTCTCTTAAACCAAAATTCTGGGTTGCCCTGAAAGAGGAGTAGAACCATACACGAGCTAAAACCTCCTGGTATTTAGTGGAAGCTGGCTGCCTCCTAACTCCATAACTCTTTGGAAATCCCAATCCAACAGCCATTTGTAAACTTGAGATTCAATTTCAGCTCTCCAACTGTTTGAAATCTCAGTCATCTTCTAACATGTAGAGAGCACAGAAAGGGCAAGGGGATGTCAGAACATTCATTGCACACATAGGCTGGTACAGTTTCTTCTTTGAGTTAGCAGCCAGCCCATGTGGAAAATCTTTGATGCAGCATCATCAGAGGTGCCTGGAGCTCTTCACACAAACAGTGTGGGCAGAGGGGGCCAAGGCTGGATTAATTTCCTGGAATGGGTTACTGAAATAGATACATCTTGATTAAATCCCTGAACAGACATGTACCTAAAATTTTCATGCTCAATTTTTAATGTATTCTAAAACATTTTAATAAGAGGAGACAGTGGAGCATGAAATAAAGTGTTCACATTTTGTGAAACCTAATTTCCACATTAGTTTTGATTGTAAGCACATAAAGATACCATTATATTGGTCTGGACTTTCTGGTACACTTTCTGCACCAAAGATCTATAGAGCACATCAGCAGCTGAGATATGGCTGCTCGAGAACTTTTGATTCGTTTGTCAGCACGTCCTATACTCATGAAAACAAGACAATCAGTTTTGTATGTCAAGTTCCAGAAGACAAAAACAGATCATCACTCCAGTTACAATAGAAAAAGAAAGTACCCTTGGACAATGCCTTTCCCTGCTGTTACAAAGGTAACAGGTTATTGACTCTAAATTGACCCTAAATTCAAAGGGGAACTTCTGTCCAATTAGAATATGCAAACACTTGACTCAAAGGGAATCATATCAGTTCCATCACAATGACATATTGATCAGCTGTATTTTCTAGACACTGACTTCCTGCTTTGACTTACAGCCTTCCAGAAAAAAAATATTTTATATTTGCAATGATCTCCAAAATGGACTGTAAAATTCAGCCAACATAAAAATAAGCACAGTAAGCCCTGGTTTTGTTAGGCAGATGAAGTAAACTGTTATTCTAAATCATCATGAAAGGGAATTCCTCAAGAATTAACTCAGATTTTTCAATTTACTCTGTTTATATTCCTGTTCTTTCAAGTGATTTGCTAGGCTAGAGTTTTTTTCTTTTAAATAGCCGTTCCTTCTTCTCCCCCCCTCTGATGAACACTCTCCTGTTATCCTGTTCTCATCCTGGCCCTCGATTTTCCCTCACCCGTAGTCCCGCAGAGCAGTCACGGCTGGACTTTCCTGTCTTTGGTGCCACCTTCGGGCAAGTGGTGGTTTGCCACAGAAATACTCCAAAACTCTGCTAGAAATGCTTTGTAATCTCAGCGTGGGCTCCTCCCAAAGATTATTTTTTGAATGCTCAGTAATTCCCTTACAATTACCAGATTGTCTCTGATATCAGGCCATACTTTTGAGTATTTCCTAGAGATCCAAGCCAAAGGCACAGCTAGATTCCCAATGGAAGAACTGAATCATTTAATTTAGATTCCCACCTGTTCGGGATAAAATGCCTTTAAAAGTAACTTGTTCAGTTGATCACATATCATCCAGAAAAGTTAGTGTCATAATTTTCTATTTACTGCTCAGCATGGGTTTAGAATAACATGGTCAGTGCTTCTCTTAAAAATTCTTTTCTGGAAGAAATCAAGAGGAACTGAGATAGATGAGGTTTTGTCTGTATTTTCATGTACGTAATTTTTGAAAGACAGCAGCTTTATGCTATAGTGATTAGAAGATAGGCTTTATTTTAAGTGTTCTCAACATTCAAATGTTATTTAAACCTAAGCAATACTCCAGTCATGTTTATATATGTGTCAGTGTGAAATATCTCCTAATGGCTTTTTACACCACTAGCCAACTTCAACTATTCTCAAGGCCATTGAGTTCCAATAAATTTCATGAGATAACTGACCTATTAATATCCAGTAAGAGAAAAGCTGCAGTTTGAGTTTAGCTGCTGTTTGAGACCTTACAGTTTATTTTCTCAGCATAACAGGGAAGAACCAAATTTCACTGCTCTCTTTTCCTCCTGGCCATGACTGATTCACCCTCCTATGTCCTGCCGAGCAACTGACAACCTTCATTCTGCAAATGGACACATTTACTAGGATGATTTTAAAATGTGCACCATGCAATTAATGACTGCTGAGCAAATGCTGTCAAGATTAGACTTTTATAGCTAACCAAAGCTTATATAACAACTTATTAAAAGTAATATGGGCTGAAGAAGTTTTGTCTTTGAGCTTGTACTTGTATATCAGATATATCTATTACAAATGTGTCAGTATTAGTATGTTTTGAAGACTACTAGGGCAACTGCAGGAGTAGTGTTTCATGGGTAATTAACATCAGGATTGGGTCCTTAAAAGCCTGCTTTGAAGATGTCCATTTTTTTTATTATTAAGCAATTAAAAATATATGTATTTTTTCCTTTATACATTAAAAATTTAATTTCACTAAAATAGGTGCAAGCTGAAAGGATTTACTTCATATGGCACTAAAACTTACATATTGTCTAAAACACCATGCACATTCCTTTGGGATATAAATATCAATCTGATTAGCAAGCAGGTCTTGTCAGCCACAGTAACTTATCCCCTGGGGTATCTGAACCATCACGTGCCTCTAGGACTTCTTTAAAAGGTCAAGAGGACTTAACTGAGGTCTATATAAGTCATTCTCTATGTCATTTGAAAAAGAATTAAGTCAAGAGGACTCTGCAGATCTTTTGCCTGACAATATTTTCTGTTCTTGGCCTGGGGAAAATTAAGTGGCCAGGTGAGTTCAATCTTTCCTCTGGAGCTTTAGAAGACATCACAATAATTCACACAAAAAATGCATGGAAATAACCAAAGATGCCCAAATGCCAGAGAGGTCTACAAATACATTTGGCTTTGTCCTCAGCTTGTACACCTGAAGATTTAACTGGAAATACCAGTGACTCAGATGCACGATGTGTATCTGAACCAAAGGATGGAGCAGTTGGCTCCTGCAGGGCAGCACTTCTGCTCTGCCCTGGGACCTGGGCTCAGCTTGGGGCCACCTCCACAGCTGAGAGAGTAAGAGCAGTGGCAACTCCACCCAACAGTATTTTTCATTTTGCAGCATTCTTGATATGGCTCTTTCCAGTATCCTGACAGAAGCGGAAATTGCTGCTGGTCTACAGAGCTGTCAAGGTAATAGTTCTGTTTTAAATTTGGTTTTGCAGTTTATCTCTCAAATTCCTTTGTCCTTGCCACCCCAAAGTCCCAATTCCAATGGAAACAGAAAACTCTCTCTTATTAAAAACAGAAAAAGGATGCAAGGTATTGGAACAGATGCAAGTTTTAATCTTGGCCATCCAAGCTACAGGTACTCACCGTTATTTGTGCACTGCAGCAATTTTAAGGATGAAAAAAATCCAAAGGCTGAATCCTGCATCAGAAATCCTATTTTTACACAGAATAATAATAAAACTACTGCTGATTCAATACAAGCACAATATTGACCATCAAGTTCTACAAATATCTTTCAGTGAAGTATCTATTTACAAGAGTATGTTCTTCATGCTGAAGACCACAGTGATTGTTTTGTTACCTTCCTAGTTGAGAGACATCATTGACGGAAAAATCCCATTTATCTGATATAAACTCAGGAAAGTCAAAGACTGCTACTTGGGATTTGTAATTACCCTCACTGTACTGCAGAATAGTTTGCTGCTTTTTGATCAAAAAAATAATTTTTTTGTTCCAGATTTTTGACAACTTTTCTTCATCTCTCTTTGTTTCCATCTGTTTATTTCAGCCGCTGATTCATTTGATTACAAAACCTTTTTTATCAAAGTGGGTCTCAACTCCAAGTCCAAAGACCAAGTTGCCAAAGTTTTTGGAATTCTTGACCAGGACAGGAGTGGCTTTATTGAAGAAGAAGAACTTAAGTAAGTAAATTAAAAAGTTACCAAGGGGGTTGTGGTTTATCATCTAAAAATGCATGATAAGATCAGAAATATTCCCTTTCCTCCTGTCCCTTTGGATGGGAGACAATCGTGTGTTTGTGCATGTGTGTGAGTGCTGGTGCTGGAGGAGCTGCAAGTCAAATAGCAAAGGCAAGGCTGGATCACAATGGGGAAACTGAGAGCACTGAAAATACTCATTTCATGTAGCAGTAACTGACAGACGGTGAAGATAAAAATAGCAGTTCTGCTAGAGCTGCTTTTTATTATTGTGAGGTTTTTTTACCAGATTGAATTCAAAGGGCCATTTTTCTCTCATCTTTCTTCCTGTCACATGAATTCTACCTTCCAGATCACATTCATCTGACTTTGAAGTTAAAAGTAAGGTTAGAGATATTCTTGCTGCTGAGTCTCTGCATCTTAGGAGAAAGGAGGATAACAAGGGAGGGAAGATGAATCCTGCCTCTACAGAGTCAGAGTCAGTGTTAATTTTGCCTTTTTAATTCAATGAAACCAAGATGTCATCAAGGATTTTTATAGGCTGTGAAGTAGCATCCTCTTACTTCCTTACTCTCACTCTCAATGAAGTTAGAGGAAGTTTTACCATCAAAACAGCTCTCAAGAACTCAATCATGCTTGAAAATTTGCAGCTATTACAAATCCAAACACTGAATATTTTCAGTATTATGTGTCACTCATTTGTTCTCTCATCTTTATCAGACTTTTCCTGAAGAATTTCTCAGCCAGTGCCAGAGCTTTGACTGACGCTGAGACCAAGGCGTTCCTGGCAGCAGGGGACAGTGATGGAGATGGTAAAATTGGAGTGGATGGTAAGACTGCCCTTATTAAAATTATAATACCTGCCTTTGAGACTTCCTAAAGGCAGCTCTAGGCAGCTGCCCTGCTTTCATGTACTGGATGTTATGGAGCTGATGCTGAGGTGCTCAGATCTGCTGTATTACAGAGAGAATTTAACATAGGAACAGGTCTCTATTCTGCCCCTGGCTAAAGTGGTCAGTCCCTTTTCTCATTTATGGAGATCTTTTCAGGACTGAAACCTAAATTCAGTATATAATTTCACTGCTTTTTGCTAGTGAACTGTGATCCAATGTGGCACTTAAATGCAACACTTCCTTTACCTTAAGTACCCATTGTTATGAATACACAATGGGCTGCATTTAAGGAATGATTCTCAGATGAAGTAGCTTTGGTTTCCCATTTTAACTCTAAAATCAGGAGAGAAATTTTTGACTGTGTGATTACAAACAGAAGTCCCCTTTTATTATCCTTTTTTCTTCTTTTTCAGAGTTTCAAGCACTGGTCAAATCGTAGCCAGCAGTCAAGATAAAGACCAAGATGTACATGCCATAAACAATCTTTCTTATTGCAAACCTACCATCTATTTACATATTTGTATCCTGAAAGGTAATGACAAATTGTTGGCAAGTGGTTTCTTATTGCTGGAATACATCTGAAGTGGTACAAGCAATACTTAAGCCATGCTGCCAGGTGTTTTAAGCAAAAGGTCTATGCCACTGAGGGACTGAACTGGAATCCACGCCTCAAATCTGAATTTAGGGCATTAAAGATACAAACATAAATATTAAGAGGAGAAATTGAAAGCATCTCTGTGGGCCATTGAATTTTCAATATTTGCATAAATAAATTAAAAAAACCTAGAATTAATAAAATATCCAGGTGTAAAATGTTTATGGTAAGTGGTAGCAGTGGTATTTAATCAAGAGGCATTTCAATATTCAACATGTTTTTCTGTCATTCTTTATGCAAGTGATTGTGTTTCAGAGACTAAGTATATTGCAGAACCTTGCACTAACTAAGTCATCAATTAAAGATCAGTTGGATCCAGGAGGAATTTAGATTACTGAAATAGCAATACATTCAAAATTCCCCAAGGAATCCCTCACCTTCATGCCCACCCGATGGCACTATTGTTCCACTGCTAAAACAATGTTCTGTGTGCTCAAATGGATTCCAGCAACTCCTCGTGTCCCACCTGCCACTTCTGCAAAAAGCACTTCAAACAAACAAGTCCCCAGTGCTCCATAAGAGCAAATGGGGGAATGCTGCCTAAATAATCAGCATTCTGCTGCTTTTCTCCTCAGCACTGAGAATAACATGATGCCCACACCTCACCGGGTTGTAAAATGCATCAATGTTTGTGAGGGAGGTATAATAAAATGAATAAAATGAATAAAAAATGCTAAGAAATTAATATCTTTTTTCTTTACAGACATATTGAAATAGCAAGACAGACATAAGAATGGGGAGAATGCAAAATTCTGAGTAGTTTCTCATTAATTGAAGTTAATTTTGTGCACTAGGTTAGGGTTCTGGTTGAAAAGCGTGGGCATGATGATGTCACCACAATTTTGCCATAGTATAAACACACAGAGCAATCAAACTGGGCTACAAAAATGAACTTATTGCTAATAGTACCTAATGAAACACTGCAGTGTATCAGGCTTTTGTCTTAGATATATGACCATAATAAACACAACCAAACAGCCTTTTAAAAATCTAGATGGCTTTAACCATCCCAAACATTATACTTGCAACACTACAGTTGCTCCTAAATACTCTTTGAAATAAATTTGGAGCTCTTGAAAAGTCTTTTCTTGGACAATAATCTCCCAAAAACTGGTATGAGTGTTTCATACTGTATTTGTTGGATCTATTTAAGAAGATATTTCAATATTTGCAGATCAAAAAACTTAATTTCAAAATTGCTTGATGATGTTATTGTGGTTCTGATGCACAACATATTTATGATAAGACATCATGGAGAAGGAAGGAAATATCAATACATTGTTGGGGAAATCATCATATTACACAAAGTTAAGGCAATCTACAAGACCAATGAAAACTCAATAATGTGTTCATGCTCTATACATTAGCCAAAACTATATTTCCATTAACTCTAATGAATGAATCAGGGCCTAATATTGTAGAATTTTCTGTAAGAGTGAACAAAGAATTATCCATCAAGCAAATTGACATTCATTACTTCAATGTCATCTCAGGACAGCAATTAAAAAAGGAAAATTTGCAGAATTAATAACTGCAGCCTGACCGCAGGGCTAAAAGCTCTCATTATTTTCAGAAAATGCTTTGTTTCTCAGCTGATACTATATTTTATGTTTTCATCATGCAATATGGCTTACCCAGACATTTTCAAGCATTGCACCAACATTAATGGCTAAATAAGAGAGAAAGGCACAGACAGCTCAGATAACTTCTGAGATAGCAGGCAGCTCCTTTATTTAACTACACTTACTTCCACCCTGATTAGCCTGCTAGGCCTACAAATCTAAGACAATTTCACCACTTACCATTCCATTAAGAACAGTAAAAAATTCATGACAAGGTAAGTCTGGTATCAGCTTCAGTGATCACTCCAGAAAGTTAAGATGAGCTTGTGACTAGACAGGTTTTTAGACCTTTCCTTCTTCCAGCATTACCAATAGGCAGATCAGAGGAGAAAATGCTGTTTTCTTTGCACAAGAATATATTCACTCACCTTCTTTTCCTCTCTGCCTCTCACTCACACGGGCTGTCAGGCACTGTAAAATTTCTGTAACTACTTACCATGGGATTTAAGAAAGCTCTTCAAATTGTGCCTCAGCTGGAAATACTGCTGCCTGATCACAAACACACATTCTCAAACAGCTCCCTTAGAGCAAAGAACATTGTGCTGGAATCAGACATTTGGAGGTCTGAGACCCTTAATATGGGATTGCCTCTTGTCAGTAGAATTTTGTCACATGCTTGGTACATGTGTTTTAACAGTTTGTCTGAATCTCCTTTCTTTAGGCCATTTCTGCTAAACAAGCGACTTTTGACGATGTTTATGATAAAGTTAACTCTGATTACAGAGTAATTTTACTTCAAACCTCACTAAGGGTTACACATCCTCCTACTGCTGAAATTAATGGCCAAACTCCCACTGAAATCAATGAGGACAGGCAGTGAATACAGAAGTAGTTGTACTTCAGTGCTATTTGGTTTATTTTGCCATTGTCCTTACACCAAAGGGCACAGCAAAATGCAGCCATGTGCAAAGAGCCTTTGGTAGCAGCAGTGTAGGACTGTGCTTGTCTTTTCCATGGCACAATAGGCAGCATCCAGGTTATTTCACAGCCTCCAACATTAGTTATTCCTAAAATAGACAGAAACCCTGAACAACGTAGATTTTTAAAGATCACTCCATCTGACACTGTCTATAATGATGACAGCAAACAGAAACATGTTAGACAATTAAATTTAGGGTCAGAGACAGAAAATTGCATTACTGAGTCTCAGAAGAGCTTCCAAGTGCTTTTAAAGACAAACACATATCAAATGCTGTCAGAGATCTTCCAGGACAGCTTTTTAAGTGAAAAAATATGTTTATCAGGCCAGACTCTATGAATTAGTGACACTATTACTCAGCTGTGTTAGTCTATTCTGCTGTCATTTTCAAACAGGAATCAAATTCATTCCCACAGAATGATAAGAGCATCATTTGAACTGAGGAAAGTTCACATGGTATTTCCCCTAACGTGAGAGAAGTACCTGTTTTCCTTTAGCTCCAGACCCACAGTGCTGCAGAATTTATCTGGTATCCTGGGTTCTCTTGTCCAGATCTCCACTCAGTTCTCTGGGTAATATCCTCTACCTGCTGCAGGGAAAGAAAGCTTTGTCACTGGGGCCTGGCTTTCCTCCTTCATTGTAGCAAGAAAGTCAAATACTACAGCACGTGCTCAGACTTCTCTGTTAAATATAGCAAAATACTATGGGCCAAGCAACTATTGAAATTAAATACAGCAATTATTTCTCTATTTCTATACGATTAAAGCATTTGCCCTAAGAGACAACTTGAAGTGGCAGGATATAATTCATTTTGTTGTCAAGGTCCTTTTAAATGATTATAACTGTGAACACACTAAAAGTCTCTGCTGTCACCACTGAGACATCAACACTACTATCAACCACAGAGGTTACTGAGTATCTATTTTAGTTGCTTCCAAACTCATTACAAAGGCAGAATCTGTTATCCAGGATCATGATACCACTGGCCCTGACACAACCAGGGCTGAAAGATGGAGTTGTGTGGGTTTGAGAACAGCTGCTGCAGCATCTCTTTACACTGTTGTAGTTGGTCTCAGGTTAACACCTCTCCTCTGATCTCACCTGAGACAACTGCTGATGTTTCTTTTGCATCTGCTCGAAGTCATGGCTTTGGTTGATTGCCACTGCTAATTAACTCTACTTTATGCCAAACAGAGCACAAAGGGTACAAGACTAGTCCTCAACCTGTCAATGTTTACCAAAACACAGCTTTTCTCTGATACTTAGAGAAGTAAATAACACTTGATTTGAAGACAATTTTTTCGTATGTTTAGATTCCTAAAGACTCTAGAACCTTAGCAAGAATTTATCAATATGAATATTCTGTACTTCTCAGAATCACACCTTCAAGTTTAATTCTGGAAGTCTGAAAAAAATTGCTTTAATATTATTAAATAGAGACACCTCAGGTGAAAATAACACTAGGTCTGAAAGTACATAAATATTCAGATGATCAACCCAATAAAACTTTCAGAGGTCGCTCATAGAGCAAAAAAAAATCCCCAAAACAAGCAAACAAAAATTAATATTTTTTCTTGAATTTCAAAAGAATGAGTGCTAAACATTCCTGGAAACTGTGCAATTCTAAGATTCTGTGTCAGATTTTGCACTGTTGTCAACTGCCTATTATTTAGTAGCTGTTGTTCTGGTTGAATTATCAGGGATTTTCATTATAGTGTTACATTGTTTGCATAGCATCTTTTAAAAAACCCACTTTCTTAGATCTCAGTTTTTGAATGCATAAAGTAATTACAACTACCTAAGTTAACACATAACCAAGAAAGAAGGAAAACAGGTAGATAATTTAGATGTAAACTAGATTATCTCATTAAAATATCCCTTAATATACTAACCCCTAATTATTGCATTCTAATTGTAGTGGAGGGAAACCTGTACTTCAGATGAAGTGTCATTAATAAATAAATAAAACCCAGTAACCCTAGATTCCCACCTGTATCAATGTCCAGTGACATCAACTTGATTCTGAAATTCAGCACTTTTAGGCTTTTGTAAACTATCTTTCAGCCAGGATTAACATCACTTTTGTTGTCAGTGTTGAATTTCAAATACTAAAAGCTCTTCAAGAGCAATCATAGCAATTATCTCACTTTTATTTGAGATCATATTCTAATATAATACTAATTCTGGCTATCTTACAGCTGTTGAATACACATAAAACCAGCTCAGCACTCTATGCCATGACAGAGTGCATGAGGTAACCAGATGTCATTCTTTGAACATTTGGTGTTTTTATTTTTTAATAATGCCCAAATTAGTTCCAGATATACTTTGAGATTGAGCATTATATGCTCACCTTGATCTTGTCATTTTCCTCCATTTCAATTCCCTCATTCTCATTAGCTGTCAATAATTAGTGTTGTATGGCAAGTTAAACAAAGAGAGCAGTTCCATGAGTACTGTGTAGCAGCCAGCAGAAACAAAGGAATTTTCCTGTAAAGGAACACCTATTGCACTGTCACAGAGGACTGGAAAAAATATTTTTCTCCAGAAACATCTCGGCCGTAAAAAAAAGAAACCTTCTGTTCAAACTCATATCAACTTGAGGTGATCATAAAGGAGAAACTACAACAGAGTATAAAAAAACACCTAAGAGAATGAAAGTTATTTCAGGATGATTCTGGAGAAAGCACAGAATGAACTTCATCCCAATGGCCACTGCCTGGCAGATCATACATAATGCCATGGAAATCTCAGGCAGAAAGCAACATGAATATATAGCACAGAATTAATAAGATAAATGAAAAGAACACCAAAAGATCTGTGATCAGACCTTCAGCTTGTACAAATCAGCACTATTTAAGTTATTTTAATCACAAAATACCGATTTACAACAGCCCAGGATTCTTAGGTTTATCAGTAAAGTTTTCTTCCAGGTCACTATAACCAGTTTTCCTGCTGGAAGCAATAGAAGGAGCATTGTTTGTTCCTGGGCAGCTGGTATTTGGGACCAAAGGTAAGTCTGAATATTTGTGATTATGCCATGTTCCTTCACGTACAAAATAGGTAGCAAGAAAGTTTAAAGTATCATTAAATTACATCTGCTTTTTGTGCTACTTATACCTTGTATTTCTCTATCCAAATTCAAACAGTGCTATGGAATATTTGCTATGGTTGACACTTTTCTCACTATCATTAAACCAAGCAGGAGTAAACCCACTGTAGTCCATTAACTAACACCAAGGCTTACATCAAGGCTTAGATATATTTATTACTCTACTCCACAGTATAATTTTGACCATTGCTACAATGAAAACACTTCCTCTGGCACACCATGTTTTCCTTTTGTTTAAAAATAAAACAATGTTAATGGATTAAGAGAATATCAGTTTAGATAGCACCATTGACTACTACACAGTAAGTACTAACCAAAATATATGTGAGTTTTATTGGAATTCATCCTAGAATTTTGTCATAGAAACCTCCTTAAAGATGGAAATAGATTTTTTGTCTGAGAAGAAAAACTTCCTATCTGCTGTTACAAATTTTCTTAAGGTTTTGTTCTAAAAGAAATACTCCTGAAATATATAGTAAACTCTCATTTATTTATATCTAGAACTAAAACTTCACTATTAATGAAATAGATTGAGAGTGTGTTATAAAATGTATATAAATCTATTTCCACACTAACAAAGTCTGATTCTTACAACCTATAGAACTTGTTACAACTAGCAAGCCTATTTATTGATTTAATGTAATTCAAAATATTCAAAATGGATTATTAAGTAGGCCAACTGATTATACATAATCTTCCAAGGAATACTGACGACAAGATCAGTTTATTCAGCTTTACCTAGTTCGTGTTTTCTGTCACAGAAGACATTGGTTTCTGTTTCTGTAACTCAGAAAATGGTCAGGAAAGACAAAATGCAACTTACTGTAGAAAGATCATCCAAATTAGAAAATGCTTTCCTCTACCCTAGTGACAAGTTATCTTGGTCAGAATGACACATTGTCACCTCTGATCTGTCATCTCCAACCTCCTTTATACATTCCAAAGGATCAACAGACCCAGGGAAGACAAATTCATTTCTTTCCATAAGGATTTGACTGCTGGAGTTGTCTTCCAAGGAGTGACTTTCAGCTGCAGCTGTTACCTGTTAACATACTTGGAGCTGAAAGGCAGCTTTGATGGCAGAGTTGTACTTAATTATAAGCACTAGTGGATTTATTTTTAAAAAACTGTTCTTTTGTCCATATTATCTTAATATATAAATAGAAAGAAAAGTTTAATTAGTTAAGGAAGAAATTTGAGCCAGGTCTCAGTTCAAACATTTGATCCATGAAAGTGTAACCTAAGTAGTGGTTATTGTCACCTTTTGAATCCTTTATAAGACAGAGTGACAAGCCAGAGTCAGCATTACAATTTTGCCTGGTATCTCCTCGGCTACTTTTCCTTTACCTAGCTGAGAAAACTCTAAAGGTGAGCAGGTGACTTGAGATTAATTATATAAAATTACTGTGCAGAGCTGCACCACTAGTAAGTACAATAACCATTGTTCTAAGGTTTTTATTTTAATTGCTGGAATTACTTATGGATGGACTTTACATAGATAAGTACCAGTTTTCTTTTTATTCTTCAGAGCTGTTGAGGGAGATAATAGAAGTAAACTTTCTTACCTTTCATTTTCCAACTGCATTTATTGTTACTGTATTGCCAGATTCCATGCATTTAAGATGATTTTTTATATGAACAGTTACATAGAGTTAAAAATGTACTGTATTTATATAGATTGCAGGTAAAGGATAAAATATTGCTCATCAACTCACACCATGGTTAATGTAATCCATCTCATTATCAAGCATGATTTCTGCACTGCTGTTTTTAAGGAAGTAATGTACTAGATCTTGTAATTCGTTAAGGAATACCAGAGATATCACTTTGATCAATGAGATTGATCTACTCTTGTTGACCTTATAGTAATCTTCAAAACACAGAAAAATCCAAACTTTTGTAAGATGGGTTTGCATTTCAAAACTCTGTTTACAATATTCTATTTTGCACAGGTTTAAAATGAGCCTTACAGACATTCTATGCCCTTCTGACATTGCTGCTGCTCTGCGGGACTGCCAAGGTGAGAAAACAATTTAAAGTCTCAAAATCTCTTATTTTGTGTAACCGATGGCAAGTTTAACTCAATCCCAAAGGAATATTGAACAAATGCATACTTTAAACAGATTTCTGTAATCTCTTTACTCAGCTGTCACAGTATGTTTGTTCATAACTGGTCTATAGTGTCAATTTGGAGATTATCCCCACATGATTTTGTTGGATGTTTAGGAGGGTACGGGGCAGTACTGCAAATTCATTCATTCTTCCACAGGCTTCACCTGGTGATCATGTTTAGAAAATTAAAATGTAGGGAAGTATCATCCTCAGACCGTTTAGGAACAGTGAACACAGTGGTCTGGGGTTAATTTCTTTATTAATTTATTTTCAGCTCCAGATTCCTTTAGTCCCAAAAAATTCTTTCAGATCAGTGGGATGTCTAAAAAGAGTAGCAGCCAGCTCAAGGAGATCTTCCGGATTCTCGACAATGATCAAAGTGGCTTTATTGAGGAAGATGAGCTCAAGTAAGGATTTTCTTAACTACTTGGAGGATATAAAAAAAAAAGCACTTTTTCCATTCCAGAACTTTCAGTACACATGAACACAATTTATGCTAAATGTTGATAAAACTTTCAGCAGATTGTGAAAGATATATTTAAATAGATAGTCCTTACAGACAAAAGCAAATTGGTAATACCTGCCTTTTATGTTCAGTACAGAAAAAAAGAGCACCCTGGGGCTGGATTTTCATAGTGGACAGAACCAATTCAATCAGGGTTGCACTTATAAAGCAGAAATACATACAAGTAAGATTTAGCTTGCCAAACAAAGCAGTGTTTTAAGAACTTGGCTACTGTGGTAAATTATTTAGAGATAGTTATCTGATTATACAACAACCATAAAAAATACGATGGTGTGAAAATCTAAATCCAGATTGTTTCCTCCCAAGGTATTTCCTTCAGAGGTTTGAGTGTGGAGCCAGAGTGTTAACCACCTCAGAAACCAAGACCTTCTTGGCAGCTGCAGATCATGATGGGGATGGTAAAATCGGGGCTGAAGGTATTGACTACTTTAACTACTGAATGATGCACCTCAGGATGTTTGTTGTGATGTGGGATTCTCTTTTATGTTGATGGTACATTAATGTACCCTCAGTGACTTTACTGAAACCCTTGAGTAGCAACCTGTTTAAGGGTGGAAATGGTCCCTGATCTTAGAGGTTCATCCCTGCAACTCCTTTTGCATGAGCAAATAAAAATTCCCTAAGGAACTTCCCTTTTGCCACTCACTCCCATATTTCAAGTTGTTCTGAAAAGAACTGCCCCCTATTTCTCCTCCCACTTACTCTAATGTAAGGCAGTGCTGGCATCACTTGGAATACACAAACGTAAAATCAAGGACAAAGGAATCAGCTGTACACAGGAGAACAAAGAGCTCATACATCAGCTTGTTTCCAACAGCTACTGCCCCACAGAAATTCCAATGGTCACCGAAATAATTCTCAATATGCAGCACGTAGTTCTGTGCTTGTTTTGAATGATAACAGAATGATCAAGTGTCACTACCCCAGTACGAGATCCCACAGCAGGGATGGCTGCTCTTTATCTTCAGTGGCAGGTTAAGGACCAGATAGGAAGGAGCAGCTGTTTTAGGAAGCAGCACACTACACTCACCACGTGGAAACACTGGTGTGATTTAATGACTGCACGGTACAGAAAATTTCTGATCTCCTAATTCCATGTTTCTGTGCCCTGTTTTGGAGACAAAGCACACACACAAAAGGCCTGCAGCTGATGGCAACTGGCCCCATGAGAGCAGTGAGCTGCCTAAGATGAGCATGAAAGGGGCTTAGGCAATAGCATGAAGGGAATGTGCTGGCGTGCAGATTCCCCAGCTCACTGCACTAGCAGGACAGAACTCTTCTGTTTCTTTCTTTGGAAGGAATTAAATCCAGTTCCTTAGGAACTATGCCAGAATAAACACACATGATTTATGAAGCAATCTGTATATTAATACAGTCACTCAGGGCTGGGACTGATCAGATACTCTAATTCATGGAAGCCAAACATTTTAAAGATCTTTAAAATAACAGTATCTTATTGCACAACTCAGCACCCCAGGATGATACCACATGGAACTGCACAGTGTGTTTAGCTTTAGACTGTGCTCTAAATCAACACTTCTCAACGTCTGAAGCATCACAAACAAACAGTGAATAAAACACATGGACTCACTTTTCATTTTTTTCCTTGAGCTCTTAACTACTTCTTACTTAAATTCATATAAGCCATTCCATTATTTTTGTCTAAGATCAGTACTATGCAGAGAGAAAGCCAAAACTACCCTGAATATTTAATTATTCCCTGTAAGTCAGCAGAACACACTGCCTTTCCATGTGTTGTTTAGAAGAGGATGTTTAAATGTTGCCTCTCGTCCACATGTTTCTTCTCTGGTCATCTATCAAATATTTTTTTTTCTGTTCATTCCTATTCTAAATCTCTTGATAAGCCACTAATCCTTTACTACTAATCCTTTCATGTTAATATTTCTTTCATGTAAATATTCTCTTATCTTTCACAGAATTCCAGGAAATGGTGCAGGCTTAGAGGTTCAAAAGGACCAAACAAGATAGAATTGGGATGAATCTGCATGAGACACTCCCAAACCTTGAAAATCAGGAGTCCCTTATTTATCTTGACAGTGTCTGTTACTTTTCACTGCCTTAGCAACATAATGAAACACTGATTACTGATTTTTTCATTGTGTGGACTATTTACCATGTTTTAACCTCTATTTTAGCAGACACTTCCCTTAAAAATATCCAATAAAAATTAATCGTATACTGTAGCCTGTGTCTATTTTTTGACTTCTGTATTGAAACATGAGAATTCTTAATCCCTCCAAGATCTTGACTTTAACAGGTCTTTATATATGGAACATCTTTTGAAATGAGTGAGAGTTTTGTTTACAATAGCCCTTCTGGATCAAGCTTAATTTCTCAGAACACTCAAATCTTCATCAAGGATTAGGAGCTCAGATACAGTTGTGAGATAGGTGAGTGTAAAATCTCTCACTGACTTCGAAGTGAAAAGCAGTCATGTATTTTTGCTTAAGAAGTGGCTTCTGCATGGGGTTGTTGCAGTTTTAAACCACTCTCTTACATCAGCCAGCTAATAGATGAGCAAAGCAAAAATCATATGCTCTCCTGCAGAGAGAATTCAAAGGAAAACCTATGAGGACTTGAGGTTTCAGATAACTGTGAGGTTTTAAGAAACAGAGGGGAAGTAATATATTTTCTCGGTGGTATTTTCTTATTTTCTCAATAGAGAGGACTGGAAGTGTGGAGGAAGAATTTGTACAAATGCATGTTGAGAAAGCTCCAACTCTTCTTGGTGGGCTGGACTGATGTATTAAAAATGTCCCTCACAAACACATCTATCTCTGGGAATGCTGAAGAAATGTCTTTTTATGAGCAAACATTTCATTTCCTCTTTAGAAAAGGAGATATTCAGATGCTCTGATGGAATATTTATACCTTCACTTGCTTTTTAAACACACATGCAGCTTGCAGAGGCACCACAACACAACAGAAGCCTTTAAGTGAAGTGAACAGTTCAGTCACTGCAGTTTCAGTGCATTTCTTCCTTTGCTGCAAATGACTACATTCAAAATTAACTGCACTTCTTCCTTATCAAAAGTCACTATGAATAATGGTAATTGTGCACAAAACCACCAAACCCAGAATGGAACTGTTTATGAGATAACCAAGTGTTCCTGGGCAAGAGACTAACGAGTCTCAATGGACTTGTGCAAAGGACTGTGTATCTTTCAGAGTACCACAGACACAGAGTCCATCCAGTTCATGCTTCCCTAAGCTGGGCCTTTGCTCTCTCCTAGCCTGTGTGTTGCAAGCTTAACAAAACAATACTTGAAAAATTTCTGTTGATTAAAACATCCTCAACACCACAGCAAAAGCAGTTCAATAAATTAAAATTCTCCCGGGCTCATTGTGAAGAAAAGTTCATGCAGTGCCATCCTCTGAGGTAGCCTAGACACCTTAATCCAAACAAATTCCTTAATGATTTCTCCCTGATTCTTCCTCTGTGATCTCTGCATCTACCTACTCTTTTGGGAGCCAAGCAATGGCAAGCCAGACAAAAAACATCCATCACCTTTAAGAAAAAATGTACATATTGATACAATTCTTAACAGTTGACAATTGAAAACAGAATTTTTGTATCATTTCAAGACGTTTTCAAGCAGACTAATTTGCCATACAAGTTGTTTCTAAGCTGTAAGACTCAGTACATTTAATATGGTCATCACAATTTTCCTTTTACTGTACAAAAATAATACAAACTGATAAAAAATGAACACTGGATTTTGATACTACTCCTTAACTTTATGAAATGTCCTCTAGAATATAAATCTCTAGAGTATCAGTGACTTAAACAGAGCTCTTCAGATTTACACGAGCCGAGGGTCTGACCCATGAGGAACTGACCCATGGCCACTCTCAGAACATAAGATGGATGTCACAGGACAGTCACAAGAAATAAAGTGTGTTCTTGGCAATGAAATCAGCCTGATGACAGAAGGGTCTTGGAGTAGTTCACATGTGAGTAACAAACAAACTGCTCTCCATTTCACTGACAATTAAGTGTCTTGACCTTGACTAATCATGTTACATCAGGCAGGCAAATGTCTGTAAAATAGAGAATTTTCCAGGTGCTGTTGCACTCTGAACTCTAGTTCCTTTCAATGTCTCAGCCTTTGCACTGTGGACCTCGACAAAGAAACCCAGAGGCAAAGTACAAATTCTGTTATTCTCCACTGAAATGCAACAGGATGCTGGAGCAGGTCACCAAACAGAAAAATACACTTGCCCTACTCAAGATATTCTGAGATACTCTCTCAAACATCCAAAGTATTGCAGTTAAAGAATGTTTCCATGCTTTCCATCAGGAAAAAAAGTACCTTAAAAAACCCAGTAGTGCAGCACCAACCCCAAAAGATTCAAGTAAGGGAAAACTTGTTGACTTATAGGAAGAAACATTTAAAATCAAAACATCTTATCACTTTCCCAAGATCCTTGAAACATTAAATCATACTTTTGAATGCTCCTGTACAACATGTGATGGTGATAACTCAAACTGAATTTATTCACTGATAAAGATACTTGTCTGCTCCCTAGCCTAAAACAAAACACCACTGGTAAAGTTCCAAGAGACCTGATATGCACAATTCCCACTGCTTCAGGCAGACCCTTGTAATTGAGAAAGCTCCCAGGGCTTTTTTGACTGACCAGGAAGGAAAAACTAAATATACTGATCACTTTTAACCGTCATTTAACATATAGATATGGATGCTCACTGTAAGTACATATTTAAGAATAGGATGGAAATAATAATCAATGTACTGCATTCACCACAATTTGACATGAAAGGCAGCAGTCAGAAATCAGCCATCACTGGCAATCAGATTGCAATAGAAGTTGCAACTGGTTATCAGAATTGCCAGCTGTACATTGCATACAATTGTTCACTAGACACAACTACTATAAAAATACATTTTTAGAAAACACCGGAATACTTATGATTCCATTAAATTACAGGTCTCAGGAGTGCTCTTCCATGTTCACATTATGTACCCCCTAACACCTTGTGCCAGTCTACCCTGTCTGTGAACAGTTAACATCAAGATATAAAAAACCCTAGTAGCTTTATTCAACCTCTAAGCAGAAAAATGCCATGCCTTAAATGTGTCAAACTGTGACATCATTCTTAATGTAATTCTCATTATTTGCAGTGCTCAGAATGGAAATAATTAACATTTTAATATAATCCATCTTCAGAGCTGAAATTCTTTTAACTGCCTAGCTCCTTCTTCATCCTCTCTTCCCAGCTTTTCTTCAGATGCAAACTAGTAACATTTCAATATTCCAAGTTTCACAAGAAAGCAGTTTTTCATTGCTACTCAGTAACTTCATATTCTTAATCATAACCCAAGCTAGTGTGAAGTTACTCTCTTTCTTTATGAAATCTCTGGCCATGCAGAGCAAATGCATCCATTATTAAACCATTACTCACCACGACACCCCCAGCGCTGCTCACATTCCCTGACATCACACTAAGAAGTCTGGGGGATGTAAAGGCTGTCTCAGCAGGAGCCCAGCTCCAGCTGCACTGTTGTGTTTTCCCACACAGCTCCACAGGCCTGTTGCAGTGTCAACAAAGCCTACAGACCAGGGATACACAGGCATTGTGCTTTTTGCTGGATCACAGCATTATTTTGTAATTTATTTGCTAAACTAATCCCAAACTGCTGAGTCTACGCATTTGTTAACACATTTAGACTGCATACTGTCAATTGAACAGCTATTTGAGCTGTCAGCTGTATTTATTTAAAGCTGTCAGCTCTAACACCCAGAGTGATTTATAGTACACCTTTTTGTCAAGTCTGCTACTACACAGCTGATGGAAGTGCTCAAAATAGTATCCAGAAATAGGCTCAACAAACCAAACCATATATCTACACAATACTATTTCTTACTTCTATGTATGTTTAAAAACAAATTGGAAAGCACTCATAAAGTTGTTAATTGCTTGTCCCTTGATGCAGGGGTTGTCCTGCAAATTCCCAATGTACTTATGCAGCAGTTTAATTTTACATAATCATGGGCTGGGAATCACATTTCAAACTCGGGGTGATCTGATGCCACTTTGCAAATGTCAAGGTGTGGTGTTACTGCACATACAATTAAGAAGATGGGATGAAATTGGAACCACAATCGAAGTTTCTTCATGCCCTGTTAATGTGTACATTAGAAATGTAATAATTTAATTGAATGTTATCACTTGTTCACTGTGATTCTCACAACTACTTCCACCAAAAGCAATGTCAAGTTACAGATGAGGTTGCACTGAGCAGAATTATATGTTAGCAATCACTACACATACATTAATTCCCTTCCTAGGGAAAGCTGGACATGGAAACACCTTCCTCAGCAATCCCCCTTTACAGTGAGTACCCAGTGTCCAGCTCTGTGTGCATCCACAATATATCCCTTGCACCAGGGCTTGTGTTGCAGCAGTAAACCAAGGCACCCCAAGTCACAGCCCAGGATCTCCATCTTGCTAAGTCCTGAACAAACACACATCTAAACATTTCAACCAACACAAGCAAAAATCTACAGTCACTGCTGGTTTTTAATTTCTTTGGTAAGAAATTATTTAACTTGACTACCAATACTACCAGTTTTAAGCATTTCCTTGTTTTGCTTTAAGTGAGTAATATAAGCAAATTAACTTCCCCTCTGGTCTGATCACTACCTCACCCCTGCCTGCAGTGGAGTACAAGCAAGGAAGGGAATTTGGCTCCTTTTGTTTGATATATTTGATCCTGACTGGATGTTCCCAGAAATGGTCTCAAGTGTGCTGCACCCTCCAAATGGACAGACTACAATGAAAGGGCTGTTCTGCACACACTGCTGAATTTTAACTCAGAGCTCTAGGGTAGGAAACAAGAATTACTGTATATGGATATCTCATCCTAACACGTTTGGCCTGATCCTTCCTCAGACCCTGCTCAGGGAAATCCTGGGGAGCTCAGCACAGCAGGACCTTCCCTCCTCCTGCCTTGCTGGCAAGGGGAAGGAGTCACCTTGTGCTGTGACCTCTCTGAAAACACCACAAAATGACAATGCCGATTGTCTCTGCAGCTTTGGAAACATTTCCTACAGCTGAGACCTGGCTGGGCTGTCTGGAAATGCTCTGTGTGTGATGTGGCTCAGCCTGTCCTGTCACTCCTGCCTGTCCAGGCAACACAGTTTGGGTTAAACGCTGCCA